TCTTTTAGAAACAGAAAGCAAACCAGATGGTTTCTGCACTAATTCTTCAACTAACACAACACTCATACAATGTCAAATAACCAGCAACCTGCAATGCATAGTTTGCTTGGCGGCCTGTACTACAAGGGTCCTATTTCGCTCTAATGGAGAAATAATCATGGTGAAAAATATGTAATCTCTAACCATATGCTCCATACGAAGCACGAACAAATTGTTCCCAGAGGAGACCCCCTTCCTTTCTAAATGGGTGGCCGTTCAGAAGGGAGTTTAGGAAGATGGACGGGTTGTTGTGAAGAGCAGCGTGCCAACCAAAGGTCCCAAGCAATCTGTTCCAGAAGTTTGAGGCAAAAATACAATAGATAAAGAGGTGTCCTGGTGTTTCAGCTCCTTTGTAGCAAAGCAGACAACAATTTGGTGAGAGGGCTATGTGTGGCAACCTTCTTTGGATCTTGTCAAAAGTATTGATAGCCCCATGGCTAAGTTCCCAGCAGAAAAAATTAATTTTCTTGGGGTATTTTCCTTTCCAGATGCTATAGAAGAGATTTTGTGGCTGCTGGTTTCCCGAAGATGTCAGATAGGAGTAGATGGATTTTGTGGAAAATTTTTTGGATGAATCAAGGGGCAAATCCATCTGTCTGTATTTGGGAGGGGCGACATGTTGTTGAGTTTGGTGGACAGTAGCATCCAATCTTGAACTTCGATGTCTTTAAGAGGCCTACGGAAGCAATAACCCCATGATTTTAGCATCTTTATCAGTAGATAGGGAAAACAGTCTGGGGTAGAGGGTTGCCAAAGTTTCTGTCTCAAGCCAATTATCGTTCCAGAAGCTGATGAGACTGTTTTCTCCCACTTGGCAGACTGCATTGGATCTAATGAGGTTGATGTGTGTAAGAATATTGCACAAGGGACTCTTGTAGGAGCTGTAACGATGTAAATAATTGTAACCCTCAACCACAGGGGAGATTGTATGTAAGCAGAATACAAATAAAATGTATTACAAAAAATGTCACTTTGCTTTAGGCGTTTCTGCAAATTCAACATAATAATTGAGACAAGTTACAAATACATGAAGTTCAGAAAGGTGATTCAAGTTAGAAATAAAAGTTCTCTTAGAGCGTAAATATCATTCAAATCCTAATGTATTCATAATATTAACAATGATAGAAGCGAGGTAGTGTTCATAACGTAGCCTAGAAATTTACACAGTTGATTACCAAAATAACTAGATAAGAAAACAATGTTGCTTGCAAGCGCAAACCTAGTTAATAATTACAAGAAATAGAAATAGTTAAGCACAATTTATAAATGATATAATTCTAGGGAACATGCTCAGGTGCTTGATAAGTATTAAGCAACACTACCAAAGAAGATTTTTAATGTCAAGAATGTTAGTTCTTTGTTTCTATCACATCTTATGTTCAACAACTTATTAGTTTTATATTTTTAAGTTCCAACTCATTTTCCAAAAAATAGAATATACCTGCCCAAGAAGGATCTTGTTCAACTCACTCAAGGAAGGAGTTATTTCGACAACATGAACCTTTAGACACATTATCAAATCTTAGGGAAGAAAGATAGAGTGATCAGACAAAAATCTGAAAAGGTGTTGCGGAAACAAACATTTAATTCACGAGAGGGTAGATAATCAATAGCCAACAATAGGTGAAACAATACGCCATATCTACTTTCTTCTAAAAATTTATGCTTAATTCATGAGAAAACACCCAATGATCAACCAACCTCCATGCCTCCTAGAAAGCAGAATGTAAGGTCCTTGTATTTGAGTAGTAGCTGTTCTCTACACGGTTAACAAATAGGACCTGACAAGGGAAGAAAATTCATAATTCAAGTACTGCAAAAGCAGTAAAATTATATAGTTTTCTAAGACCAAACTTGATTGATGATATAACTCATCTATGATTCAAGATGAGGTTCCCCCTGAGATTTACTCTGACTATTAAGTGAAATTCACAGTCTCCCAAAACCTTCTGACTTCCTTGCAACATATTGCTTCTGAAGTGCCTAAATGTCACAATTAGGATGAAGGTCAACAACAACCATGCTCTCAAAAATTCTATTTAGCTCCTTCAGAGATCAGATCCTAAAATTTTGCAACATAAAATATGTTGGAAAAATACTACAAACAAGAACTTCCAGTCTACAAACAATGAAAAAAAGAATCTAAATTACTGCCATTACCTAGTATCAGGAATCAAATAGCCCCATAATACATTATAGTATTAGGGAATAAGTAGAGAACACAAAATCGATAAGATTGAAGGAGAAATAATATCTGAATAACATAACCATATAATGAACTATAGATCTAATAAATGAAACATGTCAAGAAAGCTCAGGCACACTGAATGAAGAACCTCGACAGGTGCTGAGTTCAACCACTGATGCTTTTGGGCAGTGAGAACTTAAGAATTGTAAGTTCCTGCAGTTTTGACTTGAGGAGGACTTCCTTAATGCACTTTATTAACTTAATGCTGCAACCTTTGAAGTGCACAGCCACCTTTGACGTTCTAAGAATATATAACAGATGGAAGAAGAGAGCAAGGATAATATATAACAGTTGTTGCTGAAACAACTGCAACAGCCATGGCTCTTGCAACATCTTCTGCCGTCTGCAGGAAGAGTGGCAAATGCACCTCAAAAAAGCCGTGAAAAATATATTGTTCATTTCTACTTACATTAAAATGCAATTCAATAAAATGGTCAAATGTCTGAAAGCTAAAAAAAACCCTAAACATGATTGTTAGTCATCAATGTGTAATCATATAAATTGATTATAAAAAGCAAATAACAAGCCATCAAAATCTATTTAAGATTCAATTATTAATAGTACAACATAACCAAAAAACAGAACTAAGTGGCACTCGCCTGCTCAGTGTTTCACCAACAAATTCCATGAAATATCTTGCATTCTCCAAATTACATAATGTTAAATAAATAGCACTATTAACAATTATATGACATTAAGACCAATGACAAGTACCATATTTTATCAAGTCACTGAACCAACATCTTTAACAAAAAGAAATAGAAAAGTTAATTTAAAATGAAACTGTTTAGATTTATGATAGAGCTATAAAGGAAAACACATCGGACATTAAAATAACATACAACTGCATCCACCAACTAGCTCTCGAAATAGTCGATTATGTTAGAATGGACAGAAGGATATGCAATATAATTAGTGCGAAAATATTGACAAGATAAAAGACCACCAGATGAGATCAAATATTCCCATATTATTTGGATAGAGTTTATTTCTAGTTCTACTAATAAACAAGACCATTAAAGACATATTCAGCAGGGTTGTCAAATAGGTCCATAAGTTTTTTTTTTCCATGTCTATATTTAGGATGTAATTTGATATGAAACCCTAGGAAGTTGCAAACAAATACCTTCCACCGAAAGAAGATCCCTAATTGTCAATACCTAAAACCCCAAAATTAAATTAGCACAATCCCAAGAGAAGGATTAGATAACGGATTACCTTGTTCATCAAAGACCATTTCTGTATTTAGGGTGTAATTACCAACAAAATTTGGCCCATGAGCAATAATGAAATAACATTCACATGAATCCAACTATTAGTAATTATGTCTACTATTTACATGAAGCCTAAAGGATGTGTAACGTCATATATCATGCCAAATACCACATACATTAAATATCAAGAACGTAAAAATTAACTTGTTGCATGAGGAACTAGTTGATCAAAGCCAAGAGATAAATGAAACAGCCTTGACATAATGAACATAGTGATATAGACGTATATTAATACAATCAACAAACTACATCTGAAGCAAAAGCTATAAGAATTTAGACTCATAAGAGCTGAAATAAAAGCTACATCAAACTGAATGGCCTGTTATAGATGTCTGATTCTCCCTATAAAAGCTAGGGCTAAAATTTTCCGGTGATAAAGAGCCTAAGATTTGATATAGTATGACAAATTATAAATAACTACAACATAATCTTTAAATAATAAATGCAAGGAGAAGTACCGTCAACAATTTTATCCTGGTTTCATACTTATGCTTCGTTAAGCCGACACATATCTTTCCGCCAAGAAGATTCAAAATAGGAATCCGAATCTGGACCTGGACCTGGTTCTCCTCCAAAAACTCCGAAGAGGATGAATAGGAGGCCCTGACTTCAAGCAGCTTCAACGGCAGGAAGATGGAGATCGAAACCTGCGGATCCCCCAGCGTCCGACGAAAGTCGCTCATCATCTCAGGCCGAAAAAAACGCGAAGCTGTAAGAAGTAAATTGGGAAGTGAATGGACGCAACCTTTACCGTAGAGTGAGAGCAGGATGCGAAGGCGACGGGAAAGACGATTCGACGTTGGTGCACGGACTATGAGTAGGACTACTGCAACTACAAGTGAAGTTACGAGAATTGTTGTTGTCGACGATGACGAACTCATGATGAACTAGGAAGTCGAGGAAAAATAGCCCGGGAAAAGGGAT